GGCGGGGCGCGGGGGTGGCGCGGGTCGGGGTGGCTGCGGCCCGCCGGGCTGTGTGTCGTCACAGCCGAGGCAATCCGAGACTTTCACTCGCCGCATTCTTTGCTTCTGCTTCTTAAGTTGTCAGAATCTTCCGGTCATCCCCGTTTCCCCCCAGCCCCCACCCCGAATGTAGAACATCGCTGTTACCTACCAGGAAGCTGGAGGCATAATTACCCCTTGAGTGATTGCAGGAGAAGTTGGGCTGCCCAGAGGCAGAGGTGTGCCCTCTTCTGGGTCGGTACTTTCGGGGTGGTAAGGCTGGCGTCCAGAAACCATCCCACAGCAGTTGTTAGGTCACGGCTTGTGTTTCCATAGTTAAAGGAACACGCATGGAAACGAAGATGACATTGAAACCCAGCCATAAAATGACATCTCTGCTGCTCCTAAGGAAAAAAACAAAAAACAAAAAACAAAAAACGGTTCAAGATTGTTTTCTTAGGATGCAAGCACAGAAACCTCTGACCTGACCCAAAATGACCTTGAGAGGCTTCCCGAACCAAAAACCAAATTCCTGTTTGCAGAGCCCAGAGAACAGAACAGGGCCTCTAGGACCTAGATTAGAAGCAGTTGCAGGACAGACCAGAATTAACCAGAAGTTCCATCTGGATGGCCTCACAGAGTTACCAGCTGTCCCAAACAAGAGTCGGGGTTATAACCTGTCACCTCCTTCCACGCACCCCAGGCTCTTTAAATTCCTTTGCTCCAGATCCATTCAGGAAACAGGCTCCAGTGTGTCATGTTTCCCTGTAAGTGGACCTACGGTGGGACTCTCTTTGCGGAAGTACTGGTATTGGCGTCTGTGTGTGACCTGAAATCCTTTAAAGCTGACTGCTAACCTGGTGTTGAACCCTGATCTAGACCGCTCTATCTGGCCCTGATTTCTACTAACTATGAAACATACTGCAGAGAGTCTGTCTTAAGCCTGCTCTTGGTCAAGACTTTCAAAGTTATGTTGCTTCTGTTTTGGGGCACAGGATCCAAACCTTGACACATTGCTGCATTGAGAAACTGTTAGGAAAGTCTTGGTTTCAGCACAACTAGGGCGTTTTCCTCCTCTATTTTTCTAAAATTAACAATTGTTGCAACCCACACATGGGAAAGGCATTTTTAGTTCAATGTGCTTTCTGTTATGTCTTCTTTTTTTCAAAGAGAACTTGTACACCGAGGTGGAAGTGGGTGGCTGGTGTTCTGTACCTGTTCTGTCTTTGTTTACATTCCATCTCAGTATCACTGGAGCCTCAGTGTCCCCTTGGACTTCCTTTTGAGAGCCATACTTGTTAGTGGGACATAATTCTCCAGCCAGGGGACACCAGGCAGCCGGTGAGCCCAAGCAGCAGACTGTGTGAGGGTGGTTAAGGGGTGCTGAAGGGTGGGACTGGTTGGGCGCAGATACAGTGGAATAAATACTGGAAAATCTTCCTATTTGATGAAAAAAAATCGTATAAACTTCACTTTCTCGGTAGGGTGTTGAGAAGGAATTTATGACACTGATAGTTGGTACAAATTGTGCCAGGCTTCCTTGTACCAGCCAGACCCAGCATTCTTACCCCATACCACAGAGTCTTCTCTTGCTGCCTATGACCCATCTTCAGGTCCGCAACAGTCCCTGGTTGAATGTGTCATTAATAATATACCGATTCCAAAGAGACTCAGAAACCTCCTCCTTTGAAGTTCATATGCAAAGGGTCCTCTATTTCCTTTTATTTAGTTACAGCTTGTTCATTTGTTTTTCTTCAGTCTTCTTCATTTAAAATGACTCCCTCCCCCCACCCCAGTCCTTACCGTAATTCTTCTTAAGAGAGTTTATCCTTTCTGTAATTTGAATGCCTGTTTTGTTGTTGTTGTTTTGTTTTGTTTTTTGTTGGCAAGGGGAGTCTTTGTTAACCCACCTTCACCTTAGCAATCATTTAAGGTAGTTTTCAGAAGCTCAGCTTCTCCCGGAAATTATGAAGTAATCTCTTGTGTTTTTCAATTCTGCATTTCTCAGATGTCATAATAACAGCACGCTACATTGGACTGAAGCGATCTGGTATTTGGGGCCCCTTTATAACAGGGTGAAATAAAGGTGTCAGCATCACAGAACAACTTGTTTATTTATTATTTATTGTCAGAGACATTGGATGTTTCCAGACAGCTGGAGGAGGAAGGTGTTCTTTGGAATAATTTTTTTTTCTGTATAATGTGAAAGAATTCAATCCTTGCTCCCCCAAAAGACCCACAGAAGGTCTTAGTTCTCATTTCAAATCTTACCATGAGTGTATGTGAATGCTTTCCCAGGGCATTGCCAGAGATGGGGTCGGGGGAGGGGCTGCCAAATTACAAATTACAAAGGTATTTCAAACACGACAGAGCACAACTACTAAAAGTTTTCACGGGTCTCTAAACTGGCTGCTATAGCTTATAAGGACTTATACCATGGTGGGGTGGGGGGTGCTGGGGACTAACCCCGACGCCTTGCTCACACTAGGCAATGGCTTGCTTTACCACTAAGCCATATTCCCAGCCCCAGCATTTAATCTTAAGAAATTTACAAAGTCAAGGGTATGCCTTTATAGTGTGCCTTTCACCCTAGGCTGTGACCTGGGCTTCCGAACTCCTGAAACCCAATAGGTCGTCCTTGTCCTCCGAGCCTCCCTGTTCCTCCCAAGGTTTCCTTTCATGGTCTTTTCAATCTGGGTTTTAAGTCTGTTTCAAGCGTGTTGTATTTATTTTGATGGCGTATGTTGTTCACCGAGGGGCCATAATGATTTGATGCTCTGTGGGATTTAAGTGCGAAGAGAAAATACTTTTTTTTTCTAGTTACAGTATTATCAATAAGTACAATAGACTCGTAGGAAAGTGGAAATAAAAAATATTGGCTGTTACTGAAACAGCAAAAAGAATGGCAAGAAATCAAAGGCGAAAGATCACTGCTTACATCTTGCAAAAGATTATACTTCCTGGTCTTGTTCTGAGGGTTTGGCATGCCACGGAAAGGCACTACAGCCCCATGGGGCAGGCGCTGGGCCAGCCTTGCCTGCATTTCAGTCCTCACTATGTTATTATGTTATCTTCACCAAGTTCCTTAAGCCTCCATGTCTCATTGCTAATCTTTAAAATGGAGCTAAGCATGCCTGCTTAGGAGAAACAAACAAGCATGCATAAAAATACACTCTGTTAGAGGATTCAAAGGCTGTGATACTTAGCACTCAGTTACAATGTTGCTTTCCACAGACCTTCTTAGCTTCAATAATCTCTTTTTTGTAAGATTATTTATTTATTTGAGTTAGCACTGATGTTTTGCCTGTAGTGTGTTCACATTCTGTGTGAAGGTGTCCGATCCCCTGGAACTGGAGTTACAGACAGTTGTGAGCTGCCCTATGGGTGCTGGGAATTGAACCCCGGTCCTCTGGAAGAACATCTAGTGCTCTTAAAGCTCTGCGCCATCACTCCAGTCCCTCGATAGTCTTCTTTTGCTCCTAACCCCAAACTGTTGTCAGGCCTCAGTATTAAGCAATTGTTGCCTTTATGTGCTTGGAATGGTCGCAGCACAGATAACCTTTGTGCACGGAGAAATTGAGCGGGCCCAGAGGATTTTATTAAAGTTGGTTGCTAAGTTGAATTGCTTCAAACATTCCCCCATAAGCACCCCTTGGAGGGTAGGCATGAAAGTCTGTCTTAAAGAAACAGTAAAGATGCCTTGGCCAGAGTCACAGCGGTGGCTGACATAATTTCCTTGCTTCTCATTCCTGTGTACAGGCCATTTGATAATTTCCTTAAAAGTCTTAAACTGATGATTAATAGGGCCGGGAGCCTTCACTCACCCCTCCCTCTGCTCCCGGTCACTAGCTACTTCTTTACACAGAACTTCCCAACTTCTACCCAGACATCAAAGCCTCTGGTTCCTTAAGCAAACAGGCCCTGCAGAGAGGCTGTTGTGGGCCTCAGCCCTGAGAAGAATGCGAGTGTTTGTTTGCCACCCTGGCAGGGCTGAGTCCAGGCTGACAGGACTCAGTGTGTCTGCCTGCGGCGCCTTCAGAGAGCTGCTGCTCTCAGCCTGTTCGGGATCACCAGACCTTTGTAACACCCGAAAATCTGAAGGCTGTTGCCTTTAACGGTTCCAGAACTCCCTGGCTGCCTCATTTGTCCTGGCAATCGCCCCCACCCTCACCCCCACC